ATGTCCGGATACTGTTTTTGTCGCCTTACACGTTATTCTCGTCGGAACAGCATGGACGAGATGTATAACGAGACTGAAGACAAAGGAAAATCGCCTTCGAGTATCTGTGGTGCGAAAATTAAAATCGAAATCTAATCCTGCACGAAATAAAGACTAGTAGAATGTGCGCAAGAATTATCTATCTATCTATCTATCTATCTATCTATCTATCTATCTATCTATCTCAGTCTATCTATCTATCTATCTATCTATCTATCTATCTATCTATCTATCTATCTCAGTCTGTTTTATCTATCTATCTGTCTATCTATCTATCTGTTTTATCTATCTTTTATCTATCTATCTCTATCTATCTCAGTCTGTTTTATTTATGTCTATTATCTGCCTCTATCTTTTATATGTGTTTTTAATTTATGTTAGCTCTCTATCTATGTGTTCCTTAATTTTATCTATCTATCTATCTATCTATCTATCTATCTATCTATCTATCTATCTATCTATCTAACCTTACCTATGTTATCTATCTATCTATCTTACCTTATCTATTTGTTATCTATCTATCTTATATATCTGTCTATCTTATCTATTTTAGCTCTCAATCTATGGGTCTATTAATTTTATCTATCTATCTATCTATCTATCTATCTATCTATCTATCTATCTTACCTTATTTATCTGTTATCTATCTATCTATCTTATATATCTGCCTATCTTTCTTACCTATCTTCTCTATGTTAGCTCTGTATTTATGGGTCTATTAATTTTATCTATCTATCTATCTATCTATCTATCTATCTATCTATCTATCTATCTATCTATCTATCTGTTGTGGATTCCAGGGATGGAATCCTGCACAAATAAATAAACAACGCCAGTAATTGAAAATATGTGTATAAAACGTAAGAATACAAACTTGAAATGAAGATTAGTAGTCCAGGAATGCGGGTTAGTAGAAAAGTATATGTATAAGTCTCTGTAAGTAAAGCAGTAATTATCTCTCTTTTTGGACTCTCGTATAACTCTGAGTGAACACTCACGCCATCTCTCCGGAGTATAAGTATACTTTGGACGAGTCCATCTTGTGTACAAGGGGCGAACCCCACAATACTATCTATCTATACTTACCTATGTTATCTCTCTATCTACCTTATCTATCTATCTATCTATCTATCTATCTATCTATCTATCTATCTATCTGTCTGTATGTCTGTGTTATCTACATATCTTTCCTATCTATCTTATCTGATGTTATCTACCTATTTTTGTTATGTATTTATGTTATGTATGTGTTACCTATCCATTTCATTTATCTATGTATTATCTATCTTGTTATCTGTATATCTGTCTCACTTATCTATCTACGTTATCTATGTATCTTATCTTGTCTATATATCTTATATAATCGATCTTCAGGCCATGTGTGTTTTGTGTCGGCTCGGTCGTTCATATATGCTGGCATCATAGGGCATTATGGGTTAGAAACTCAAACACCCGTTCATATTAAAAGTACCCTTTATACTCTGTATTTCTGAGATGAGGTTTTATGTACACTATTTACATTTATTAGGACTATTGTCCTCATCTTTGTCACCATATTTATTACAACATTTAGGCCGTTGTACGCTCCGGCCTTCTTCAGGTGGTTGGAATGTCGAACTGAACCCTTTATTTCGCTCAATAATAGCAATAAGAAATACGGTATTATTCATTTACAAAATTATTATTTAAAAATTCTACATATCCCAGATCATTCCGGATTCTCTCAAGTTTAATCACTTTTACAAAAAAAAAAAAAAAATAAATAAATAAATAAATAAAAAGCCACCAAGCACCCTAATTAATAGAATTATACCACTCGGATGGTTATTTTGGTCAAAAACTCTTGCTACTCATAATGTCCCATTGACCAGCATATATAAATAGTCAAGTCGACACGAATTTAACATGTTTCGCATTCATTAAGCCCCATCAAAAAAAAAAAAGATATGTAGAAGGAAAGATAATTCTTGTATTTTTATTTTTTTTTTATATATAACACCACATTTCTTTTTAATATACCAGAATTTTTATTTCTCCATGAAACATTAAGTTTATAAACATTTCCTCTCTGTTCGTAATCCTACATGCGCATGCGCGCAAAGACACACATACAAAATTATCCATAAAAATACCAGACACCATTACTAAAAATACAATACAACAAAACACCTAAATATTTTAATGCAACCAGATACGAAATAATTAGAAACAGGACGAATTCACCATGGAACGAATTATTAAACACGATAATTCAGCCGGAAATCCCGGTTAATGGTAAAACTAATTATATATTGAAAAGCGCCAACCTCGTCCTCATTCATCAAAACTGCAATGTTAAATCTAAACAAGCGGTGACCAATATAGTGTATCACGTTTACTGCCCAATACAAGACCGTGTTTCTTGTTATAAATCAATTAGCTATATTCGTCACGCCACTAGCACCTTGAACAGACGCCTCACGTGTCACTTATGTGATCAAAGTGTCATAAAAAGACATTTAGACACCCACAATCGAAAAGAAGCCCATAAGGAAAATTCTGGTTGATAACGCGAGCATAATCATAAAAACAGCTATATATATATATATATATATATATATATATATATATATATATGTATGTATGTATGTATATGTGTATGTGTGTGTGTGTGTGTATGCGTGTGTTAGGTAAGTGTAACTACTGCTATATAAATTGGTGGTCAATTTTTCTCAATGTAACCATAAATAATAATAATAATTATAACAATAATAATAATGATAATAATAATGCATAATGAATAACATTAACTATATGACGCGACAGAAATACCTCGCACATAATGGTAAGAGACTAGCTTGATGAAGACACCATTGCCACTTTTCTAAGTGCACTAGCACCACATAGGTGGCAATATAAAATGTGGGAGGTACTTCTGCCGCCCCCTTGTAGCTAATGTTTTACCATTATGTACGAGGAATTTCTGAGAGGTATATGTTGGACGTATATATATATATATATGCCTGTGTGTGCCTTTATTTCATTAATTAACTTTCCTTCATCACTGTTCTTTTATTCGAGGATTGTTTTGATTTGATCAAAAGTAGTCTGTTTAGGAATACCGTCTTATATAGTGCAGAAAAGTGTTCGAAATTTGCATTTTATTTGGCCTTCAACAAGTCGGCATTTATTTGGGAAAATTTTCTTAACAAGCCAATTTATAAATGAAATGTTAATTTAAAATTTTGTTTCAAAGATTTCGAGTAGTGAATATATCTTACTTTGCAAAGCGATAGCGAGCGGGCGATGCCTGCTAAATATATTAATAATTATTATATTAATTATATATTAATTGAACTATATACTTAGTTCATGCCATGTTAACTGGAAAACATTTGTAAAAAAGAATTCGTGGATTTACCATATTACGAAATTCATATAAAAATTCTCACTTTAATTTTGAACTTTAGCGTTGCAACTCGCACGTTCCGAGATTGTACAGCCGCCAATAAATAGCACATTCTTAAAAACATCTTTCAGTCTACAAACAATTATTTCGTCTTCAAGTTATAACTTTAAAGGAAAATAAAATACAGCCTGATGATGGAGACATGGATCTTCGAAAGTACTTGCTTAACTTAAAAAAATATACACTAGAAACATCTGACAACAGCTGTATAAATGAGGATCACATCATTCAATGGATTAACAGTATTTGATGCATACATTATGTCCTACTAGCGAAGTGATTTCGCCATTAATCGCATTAATATTGCTGATTGATTCTCTGTATGATTATTTCTTTATATATATATATATATATATATATATATATATATAAATCATAGTTACGTCAGATTCTGAAAATTGCTGCGTAACTGTAACTCCTAGTTGTACCAAACTGTGACAAAAAATCCTTATTTTTCTCAATAAATAAATGGTTAAATTCTATCGATCTGCCCTCTGTGTCTGAACCCCACCTCTAACTTTCGTCACACTTGGTCTACATAAACATGTTATGCCCTATAGGGAATCAGAATGATCCTGGATTGAAAATCTACTCTTTTTTTTTTTTTTTTTTTGGTGCTTAAACATCCAGCATTGAGATTTCTGTCCAGGTGAGGATGGAGACACTTAAAAACTCAAATTTTAAAATAAAAATTAGTGAATTTAAGTTTTTAATTTATATTCACTTTAAAACAACACAGAAACTTTTAGCTTAAAATATCTCCAAAACTTTGTGAATTTGAGGAAATAAATTTTATTTCTTCAAAATATAAAGAAATCGGAATTAAAGTGAGAGGTTTCGTGATGTGAGGTTTTGAAGTTCCGTGGCGTTTTTGATTGGAAGAACGCATTTCAATTGTAGTTCCATGGTGTTTGCAATGTGCAGAACTCAATTTTCGGACTGAATTAGGATTTTGGTTCAAATCAGAGTTTCGGGTCAAATCGGTATTTTGGCCGGAATTGGATTTATAGCCCAAATCAGAGTTAAAGTGAGGTTTTGAAGTTTCATTGAGTGAATTGACGAATTAAAAGTTATTTCTTCAAAATTATCATAGCTGTTGGAACAGAAGCAGACAGCACACTTAGATCGACCCAATATTTAAGTTTCATTAAACTTAGAAATTTTAAGTCTAATGTTTGTTAAATAACACCTTCCGTATAGCCATTGGCGAGAATGATATTGGTAATTACCCTAAATTAGACATCAAGCTTGCATTTCGAAAAAATCATCAATACACGATGAGTAAGTGTCTTACCAAAGACAATTTTTCTAGACTTAGGAGCGAAAGAGTTGCAACAGTGATACAACACAGTAAAAGTGGTCTTCCTATAAACGCTGGTGAAGAAGGAAGTAAGAGTTATCTTCAAGAAAGATAGCGTATTATTATACTCCACGTCCATCGTAAATTGCAATGAGGGGTGGAGACTATTAAGATATTGAAAAAAAAAACTGCTTCGTTATGTGATGAAAAGGATGTAAAAGCGTCATCAGCATGACAGAAATATCTGTATGGTTTAGGGATGTTATCAAACACTTTCTCTCATAAAACCCTACAAAAATATTGGCCATGAGTGGTCCCAAAGGACTACCCATAGCTACCCCATCGATCTGCTGATGCATGTCATTATCAAAGATGAAAGAGACAGACTTAGTAGTCATCCCCATCAGTTTGACAAAGACACTCAGGAAAAGATGGCGGCTTTAATAGGCCACCACACAAATAGTCAGTACAAATGTCAATAGTCTTGTCAAGAGGGACATTTGTGAACAGATTATAAATAACAAAAGACGCGAGAAACCACGTTCTATTGCAAGATGCTTTGTTTCCTTTCAGTAGTTTCTCTTAATTCAGACGATTTTTCTTCTGATGAAAAGGCGGACGAAAGACATCTTAAAACTTCTGTTTTTAATCAAGACGATACTTTTTTATCCGACATTTTGATTAATAAAATGTTTTAAGAATACTGTTTGGATGGTATGACATTAAAACCCTTTCATATCTAATAATAATAATAATAATAATAATAATAATAATATCTGCACTGGAAAATATGCAACTTCTACGGAAGAAACTTAAAGAAACTGGTATGAACACCACCCAGACCCGGTTACGGAGATAGGACCTGTTACAGTTCTATGCGACTACACAATACACACTGACAGAATAATCAAAGCCAACCACCCAGACATTGTTATTAGAGACCACAAAAAAAAAGAAATGCCTCTTTATTGATATGGCAGTCCCTGCTGACTGTAATGTATCTTTGAAGATATTCAAAAAGCTGTCAAAATACAAGGACATTGAAATAGAAATCTCAAAAATGTGGCATATGGGAACATCAGCAATCCCTATTGTAGTTGGAGCCCTATGACTGGTTGAAAAAGATTCCAGTAGACTAATAGAAGGGATTCCTGGAAGTCCATGCCTCAAGGAGATACAAAAAATTGTTCTGAAAAGTACAGCCCACACTTTACGAAGGGCTTTATCCATGTAATTTTTTTTTGTCAGTGGAAAGTGTCATGATGCCATTTCTAACCTTAGGTCCCTGGGCGGGACCCGGAAAGAAGTGTGTAAACGCCAGAAAACAAAGAAAATAAAAATAATAGTAATAAACAATAAAATCCAGAATTACCTCAAATAGTCTATTTCAGCAGGTGAATATATTGGTCGTCTGTCATATCAACCCCGTGGTGGACTGAGTTCGTTTCTATTCAGTTAG